GCCAAGTTTCCTCACACGGGTAATAAAAGAGTAATCCTCAGCATCCCGGTTTTCATTTTAAAGAAACAGGAGACGGGCAGTGGCCTTTGCTGCCTTCACAAAGGAGCCTCTCTGAGTCGGTTGCTGGAGGGTCCGATCAAGTGGGGAGCATCACGGGCAGGGGCAGGAGACGCAGGACCGCCAGGGATCTGGGCCCACTGTAGTCACGTGTCCTAGAAAGGCCATTTACAAGTCTGGGGAGAGGGCTGGTAATCGCTTCTTGAGTTGGGGTGGGGTATGGTTATATTACAGTCTTGATGGTTTTTTGATGACTGGTCAGAAAAGCTAAACCATAAATCTATCCAGTTTTCTCACAAAAAAGACATCTTCTTTACATTTAAAGTTGTGCGTGTGTGTACTGGGGAGGGGGTAGGATGGCGATGGGGAAAATCAAACCATGGGAAGTGGTAATCACAGGGTCTATTTGTTCCCACTGTGGACACTTGGCAGGTTAGGTAGTGGAACGAAGGCAGGGAGAAGGTTTTGAGCGCTACGCATCAGTGCTGGAGCACACAGGCCAGCCGGAGCGCAGGGTCCGTGCCAGAGAAGACTTGAGAAGCCAGGACGCTACCCTAGTGTTTCATAGAGAAGAGAATGACATCCCCATGGATTTGGCCTTTGGCCTGAGCCCTGCTTCTGAAAAGCCTTAGCACTGAAAGTCTGGTTTGTCAGCCCCGTGTGCTGTCCATCTGCTTCGGGCTGGCCGCTCGCTTGCAGGAGCTGGCACCCCGGGGAACTGAAACCCAGGCTGATTCCTGGTTGGCAACCACCGGCAAGGATTCCCAGCCTCTGCTCAGTGGCTTTCCCACCTGACTCAGTGGTGCCCTCTCTGGGCACCCACGGAGAATCTCTTGGGTAGAAAGCGTGTTGCTTTTCCAAGCCCAGGGCTGGGGCTGGCGCAGAGCCAAAGGACCAAACAAAAAACACTTGGAGACACAGGGATCAGATATGCATAGGCTTCTCGACTCCCGAGATTTCCTGGGAGGTGCCGGGGATTTCCCCCATTCACTGGTGGAACAGAGCTGGTCCCTAAATTTCAGAGAAAGAAAATGCTCCATTGTTAGCTGTGGAAGGGTATCTGCCCCTGTTGGGGGGCGGTGGGGAGTCACTGAAGAGTACCGAGCGAAAGTGAGGAGGAGTACTGAGCTGAGTAAGGGACAGCAGGGACGGGACAAGACTGGTGGGAGGAGACAGGTGAGTGTCTCCTGAGGGAAGGGAGTGGCCTGGGCTGGGGTCATGGCATTGGTGGGGTTCTGAGACACCCAGGTGGTCAAAGCAGTGAGGTTTGCCCTTGATCCATGGATCAGGTGGGTGGAGGAGGAGAGGGAGGGCTTGATAGGGGTGACTCACGGGCTGTCCTTGTGCAACTGGGCGGATGTGGCACTGTGCTCGGGAGGGAACAAGGGAGGAGGCGGCCGCGGCTTTGGGGAATGAGATAATGAGCTTGGAAATTCGGGAGTTGGGCAACCAGACTGAGCAAAATTGAGTGAGGGCAGGTGAGGGTTCTGTGTATAGATTGAGGAATACAGAGCTTCACATGCAGCCAGAGCACATTCGAGGGGAACAGTGTCTGAAGAGAGATGCTTCTTGTACAGGCGCGGGGGGTAAAGGGTGACTGCTTCCTACTGCTTCCGACTCCGTAGGGCACATCGCAGGAGCGAGGGGAGTGATATGTGAGGGTTTTCTCTGTCACTTTCACAGAGTACAATAGGGAATGATCAGGGATGTCCTTATTAACTCATCAAGGGAAATAGTCCAACATGCTTGCTTTTTGATCTGGATGGAAACAATTTTTCCCAAGGATTTTACAAAAATGGAAAAAAAACGAGAGAGATGCTCTTTCTTTTCTTTTGGGGTGTATGTGTGTGTGCGTGTGTGTGTGTGTGTGTGGTGTGACATCTCTTTTTCCAGAATGGCCTTGTGCTGGACAGGCCCTGTCATAAAGCTGGGAGTGCGCATGGGGCAAAGAAGGACTTAAAGTGTTGAGAGGACGTAAAGATTTTCCATCTCCAGTGAGAGCTGCTGAGGAACAACTTCTGTGAATTTCAGATTGACATAAAAAAAGGCTTTCGTAGGGGCAGATGTGGGGAACCCAAGTTGTAGAGCTGCATTCTGGAAAGATCAAGGGAATAAGGGCACAGTCTCCGTCTGCAGACTTCCATGGGAGGCCTCCAGGGATCCTTGGCAAGAGGTGCCTGGGGACCCATTAAAAGGAAAGTCCCATTTCTTGTCATAGTTTCTCTTTCCTCCTGTCCAACCCCAGGCTCACACAGAATGGAACCCCTCTTCTTGCAAATCTCCTGGGGCCATTTAAAGGATGAGGTGGCCGCAGTCAGGGCATCATTTCCTTTCAGCATTTTTGGAGCCAAGAGATTGAAATTCTAGACCCAGTAGTGTCTGCCCCTCAATAACCTTGGAAGAGTCTTCTGGCGGCCTCGGTTTCCCCATCTGCAAGATGGGCGCAGAGTGCATCCTGCAGTTTGGGGGATTATTACAGTGGCCAGCACACGAGAAGCCCTCAGTGACAGCCGGCCGTGGCCGTTACTGACAGTGAGTGCCCTGCCTCTCGCGTTGGGAGAACACGTTGCTCAATGCTGAATGTCTCTTAAAAACAAGAGGCACTATGCAAAAGCTATGATGCCATCCATTATTATTATTAATAATAGGTTCATAATTACTTTTGCCACGATATTAAGTGAAAGCCCCTATGGTGGGCGATGACTAGGAAAATGGGAACTATTATTAATGGACCTGCCGGCTCCTGTTACTGGATCCATTGACATAATATTTCTCTCTGGGAATCCTTTGACAAATCAGCTGAATTTCCTATTCCCTTGCCCTAAGCACTGTAAATTTGATCCACATGTCCCCAGTGTTGTTTCTGCAGATTAATAATGAAGAAGGGAGGGGGAGCAGAGCCTGCACAGGACCCATGGATGTGTGGAAACTCTCCCAAATGTTCGTGCTATGGGTTGGAACGTGTGTGTGCGTGTGCGTGTGCGTGTGCGTGTGCGTGTGTGTGTGTGTGTGTTGGGGGAACCAAATTCTCTTTTGTTTTACTTGTTTTAATGCTCAGAGCCAGCTCTTCCTAATGTGTTTGGGTACTCAGCCATCAGGGAGAGTTTCTGCCTCGGGGCGCGGGGCTGGGGGGTAGGGGGATCCCCACCATGCTTTCCTCCTTCTCCCACTGGAAACAGTGCTTTGATGCCCTGCCTCACCATGTCAGCACCAGATGTGATAGGAGGGGCCACCGCCACGCAGGAGGGGTGATGGGATTTGGTGGGGGGGGGCAGTGAGGCAGCGCGGAGGAGGCGGGGTCAGGGGGAGGCCAGGCAAGGACAGCAGGGCGGACTGTCAGCAGAGCGGTCAGAGAACACTGCCAGGGTCTGGGAAAGAGGACGACTGCTGTGTGTGTTTCCCCCGTGGGATGCAGTGGGGGACTCCTTGGGTGAACCGGGCAGTGGGAACGCGCAGTATCAGCCCGCGCACTGGGACGGCCGCAGCGGGGCGCTCCTCGGATGTGTGCTTGCAAGTGGGGGGAGACGTGTACCCATTTGCGAGCCCATCACATCCAGATTCAGCTCCTGGCTCTGTCACTAAGTTGAACAAGTGACTCAAACTCTCTGAACGTCAGTCCCCCAGTTTCTAAATTGGAGACAGCAGTGCCAACCTTGTAGAAAGAGTAAGCTCGTGATGGAGATGAAGGCTCCGTTCCTGGCACATAGAAATACTAGCAACAGCTCCTGACAGAGCCCTTCCTTGTTAACGTGGCTGATGCAGGCACGGACACCCACAGCCCACTTTGTCCTCGCAGCTACACCATGAACCAGGTGCTTGCTCTCTCCTTAGCTAGCGCACAAGGAACCCAAGGCACAGAGAAGGGAAGTCACTGGCCCAAGATCACACTGCTGGTTAAGTGACAGAGCCAGGATCAGGAACCCAAACGTCCCACCTCCAAGGCTCTGTCTTGACCATTCTCTGTCCCTGGCGGTCGCCTTCCTCTTTACAGTTCTGTGTGCAAGTTAGGCGGTTCTACCCTGGATTGGCCACATCCCAGGGGCTCTCCAGCTATCTCAAGAAATTTTAAGAGGTCTTCCCAAAAGTGACCGATTAAATTCCTGTGGGTGTTTTTCTTTAAAAATAATAATAATAATAAGCTCAAGGGGGTGTCAGACAAAGACGCATTGACTGAAGAAACGGCAGTTGCCAAAGGCTGGGAATCTCTGTGGCCACGGGCTCTTAAGAACCAACATGTAATTTTAAGCTGGTCTGATTTTGCTTTTCTGGTGCTTTCTAAGAAGCCACACATTGAGCTGGAGAAATTTACAGGCTGTCACCCTCTGGGATTGATTCTGACAGCTCTGTCCCTCTAGCACTGAAGTGCTAATGAAAAACATTAATTAGACTTGGCCAGTGCCTGGGACGCATCCCCTTCTTGGAGCAGAGAAGACCGTGTCCCTTTCTCTGTGGTTTGTCCTCATCCCTTTCTTGGTGGAAGTGGAAATGGGAGCAGCATGAGGCAGTGAAAGGACTCAGGGTGTGGGGGGATCCCACCGGGGGGTCCCACCCTTGGGGTGGGCACGGTGGACATTCACAGCTCCTGAGATCCATGAAGGCAAAGCCAGGTCTCTTTGTCACCCCAGCGTCCTGAATGTCGCACAAGGCCTGGGCGGAGGGAGACACTCAGTATTCAGTGAGCGAGGAAGCAAAGGAGTGAATGCATTCTTTTATGGCCCAGGAACTGGGGCAGCCCAGTTCCTCATGCAGCTCCCAGAAACCACCTCTCCAAGGGGGCTGCTCCTCCTTCTGGCTTCTGTAGGACTCAGATGTCCTCAAGTGCAGCTTTGACATTTGCCTGACCACCCTCCCCCCACCAACCCCGCTCTACCAGAAGCTGCAGGGCTGGGCCTGTGGACCCTTGCTTCCTTCCTGAACTTACCTGTCTACCCATTTCCACACAGGTGTCCTCTCCCTCCCCGCGTACTTCAGTCCTTACAACGGTGGGTCCCTGGGCCACGACGAGCGAGCCGATGCCTACGCACAGCTGGAGCTCCGGACGCTGGAGCAGTCCCTCCTGGCCACCTGCGTGGGGAGCATCTCAGAGCTGAGTAAGTGTGGTGCATCCTGGTCTAGCTGGCTCTAAGGGAGAAGTCAGGGAAGAGCTCACCTTCTAGATTCCGGCCTCCTCCTCCTTCATGCTGTCTCTGAAAGCCAGGTCCTTCTAGGCCAGAGGTTGCAAATGGGAGGCCCATAAGCGTGGACATAAGTCTGGCTCTCAGACGCCCCAGTGCGTCTGCGCCCCCTTCCCACAGGGCAGCGGTCAGGGGGAGTTTGCGTCGTCATGCAGCTCGGCGTGCTATAGCCACCCTGAGTCATTCATCCATTTCCCCCGCCCGGCCCGCAGCGCTCTGCAGTTACACCTGCTACTTGTTCTTAAAGCACCCCCGGAAATCTCAGTGTAGAAAACGGGAGATCAAAGCTGAGCTCCTCTGGCTGAAGTTGGTTGTACTGGGGTGCCACAGCCACGGCAGGGCCACCTGGGCCTCCCCTGGGACCTCAGGGCCCTGCGGAACACAGCTGGAAACCCCTCAGACTGGGTCATTCCTGTTTGGCAGCTGCTTCTCTTAAAGGAACGTGCTAGGTAGGGAATTGCGTGCATCCCCCAATCTCTTGCTCATTGTCCCAGTTGTTTAAGAAATCAGACGGCATGCTCCTCTTTAGTTTTGCCTGGCAGCCCCGTGAGACTGGCCAGTGGCGGGCGGGGACACACACAGGGGTCGAAACTCGTGGTATAGAAACAGGTGCAGTTTCACTCTGCTCTAGCCCTTCCTGTGATGTCCTGGAGCTTTCTGAATGGCAAATAGCAGCCCGTTTGCTTCTTTAGAACACAGCATCTTCCCTCCATCCTTCTTCCCCTCCCCCTTCCTCCCCCTTCCCAGAACAGGAAAGAAAGTACCTGGTTCAAGGTCACAGAGCAGCTTCATCCTAGGGCTGGATGAGAAGGCAGGACTTCCAGCTCTCTCTCCTGGTGGCATCACAGAAGTCAGGGCTGGTGCATGGCTGCTCCGGCACTCTGTAGGAAGTGGGCTCAGGTATGTCTGGCTCAAGTGGCCACCCTTTTACTTGCCTGGGGCTGTGGGCTTCCTAGATGTGGCCAGTAGCCCAGACACCAACATCTCTAATAGCTGACATCAAGATTGGAGTCTGGTCCTTTGCCTTTTACCATGGTGGCCTCTGTGCCCATGATAATGCACAGCCAGGCAAAGGGAGAGCCATTCAGAAACTTTCCTCAAGGGAGGCGCTGGTCATCGTTCAGGTCCTATTGGTTCTACCTTCTAAAGACATCCCAAGTTTTAGTTTGCCCCTTTGGCTACCTCCACTTCTATCAACTCAGCCCAATCTAGGGCCATGTCAACACAAATTACATTGAGTCACTCATCTGCTCAATGTCCCTTCCATCCTCCCATGGCTTCCCAGCTCACTCAGTGAAATCCCAAATCCTCACCATGTCCACCCCAAATCCAGTATATGATTTGGCTTCGTCGCCTACTCCTCCTCTCTTATGGACTGTGCTCCCGCCACCCTGGCGTCCTGGCCAGGATCCTCCCTCCCCAGGGCCTTTGCACTGGCTTTCCGCTCTGCCTGTAACCATTTCCCCCACATACCCAACTATGTTGGCCCTTCATCTCATGTTCTTCAAGCTTCTGCCCAAATGATACCTTATTAGGCCTTCCCTGAGCATCCCCTGTGTAGATGAGTCCCCCATTCTCATTCCTCGGTCTCCCTCCTTACAACTTTAGTTCATTCAAAGGACAGTCACCATTTAAAATGTATCATGGATTCACTTGTAAATGGCCTTTCATCTCTCTCCCTTGACTAGAATGTCAGCTTCATGAGACTAGATTTTCTCTGTTTTATTCCTGCTGTACTGTATTCCCATGATTAGAATAGTACCTGATGCCATTTGTGTGTGTGTGTGTGTGTGTGTGTGTAAAGGAATGAGTTCTGTATTGTCCAGTGTTTGCCTCCTAAACCCACCTAGTGTGGGTCCACATCCTGGCCCAGTGGATCCTTGGGGCAAAGGGAAGAAGCATTCCTCTTTCGCATCTTTTCACAGGCGACCAAAGAGGCTGGTCACAAGCCACGTTGCCCCACCTCCCCACCCTGAAACCAGGGTTTTTGCTAACCCACAGTGAGAGAGGGAGGAGACAGAGGTGGAGGCTGGTAGTGGAGATTTTCTCTCCGAGACTAAAGAACTTAATGAGGCCACTGATACTTGGCACTGAGCTCCTCGTACCGAAAATTTACTGTGGGTTTAACATACATTAACTCACTACACCCAGCCAGGACCGGCCTGCTGGAAGTTTCTCTCTTGTCTTGGGCCCAACTGCACAGAGAATGTAGGCACTTGTATTTTTCTCTGTCCTTTTCTCCCCGTGAAAAGGTAAATGGGAGGGAATACGAGATAAACAAGACTAAGCATTTCTTTGTAAAGGGAGCCAGATGGCATAGGCCTCATCTTAAAGGCAGAGTCACCTTGCAGACTCTTGCCTGCTGTTTTTATTTGGTGGCTCATAATGAGGGTTGGACAGATGAGAAGCTCACGGTGCCTCTCCCCGAGGCTCTCCTGATCAGCCAGCAGCGCCAGCTTACTTTCCCGTGCCTTGTGGGCGTTTCTGGGCTTTAGGCTTAGGTTTCATCCCGCTTAGGATCAGCTGATTCTCAAGTACGAGGACATTTCTGAAGCGGCTCTGGGCGCCCACATGCACGAAAGCAAGAGTGCAGGCCAGTCCGGGCCACGGCATCTCCAGGCAGCTGGGGTGACGGGCCCGGATTCTGTGCTCTGACCCTGTTGCGGACTGAAACCTTTGTAAAAATAGAACAGAAAACATATGTCAGGAAACATGAAACCAAAGACATAACATGCAAGCCAGTTTTTTTTAAAATGATGAGACAAAAGATCACTCTGTCAAATCGCCATGAGACTCTTCTAAAGGTCGCTCTCAGTTTCTAAAATTAGCTTGCTGTGACCCCACAACAAACAATAACAGTTTGCAGCCCTGTCCCAGGGCCCAGACCACACTCTCATGGAGCCATAACCCAGAGCGTGTGTTTGGGATTCAGGGTCCCCGGGCTGATTCCTGACTCGTTCTCTTACTAGTATAGCCGGGACAAGTCCTTTAACTTCTCTGAGCCTGTTTCCTTGTTTGTAAAATGGAAATACCTCCCCCACGGGGAGGCTGTGGAGATTAGATGAGATCTAGTCTATTTTTCCCATCTCTCGAGCCTAGAAGATATGAGGTGGCAGGGAGGAAGGTCTCCCCTGGGGAGAACACCTAGGGTGAGTGGTTGGCTTTGGCCGTAAGGGGGGCTACCGAGCAGTGTGAGTTTTCTGCGCCTCCTCATAGTTGTCTATGGGCATCTGCTTCTTGGTCTGAGAGACCGATGGCACGCAGCTGGGCCCGGAGCCCAGAGCCGAGAGGCTGGGGACTTGCCTCTCCTGAGGCCCTTCTGCCTCCTTTGTGGTCCCTGCCCCCCACACTCCCCCGTGGTCCCTGCCCCCCACACTCCCCCCTTCCCTGGCCCAAATCGTTGGAAGGCCTCTCTCTGTTCCCGGCTCCCTTTCAGGGAATGCTTAAGGGTCCCTTCCATTTATTCCTTGATTCTGGCTGGAAATGTGCTGCCAAAAGGGTTCTACACCAAGAACAATAAAACGATCATAAACATAATTAACGATAATGGCTTCTACCTTGTCAAGTCTTTGAAGTGTTGCCACAAGGTCTCTCTTTGATGATGCTATCGGGGACTCTCTCACTTCTCCTCCTTGTGGTCCTGCGATGCTGCCAAAAGTTATGCCATTTTGACCTGGAGAAATGGAAGCCAGGTTTCAGCTGATAGCAGCCAACTTAGCCGCACAACTTGCTGCTGGGAGGCGGGTTGGCCTGGCGATTGTCGATGGCAGTTTCTGCCACCCGGGAGCCCGAGGGCGGGGTGGGACCTGACATCTCCGGGCTCAGACTCCTCCCATCCTGCCTGTGGTGAGAAATGTGGGGTAAGACTTGACTGCGTGGAAAAGAACCCTGGAAGGGAGAGCGCTGCAGCAGGCGGCCTGGAGGATAGAGGAGTAATGGTCCTAGGACAGCAATGATAATGGTGTTGTAATTCATCTGTACCAAGTACTGTGTGCCAAGCATGATGATAAGTGCCTCACACTTATTATTTATTTGAATCCTCACAATTCTGAGGTTAGATAGGTAGATCTCATTGTACAGATGAGAAAAGGGAGGCACTGATGAGAAACTTCTGTAAGGCCCATCGCTGGAAATAGCAGAACCCTGACTGGAAGCCAGGCGTGTCTGACTCTGGAATCTGGGCTCTCATCCGTTAACCTGGCAAGTTCATAACCTCACTGGACATGAGATTCACCGCAGGAACGTCTACAAAAGAGGATGCCCGGGTCCTGCCCAGACCAATTAAATCAGTCTTGGGGATGGGAGCCAGGTGTCTGTAAGTCACGAGGTACCCCCCAGCTGGGCTAAAATCGCAGGGACGAGCAGAGTCAGGTGTGGAGAGAGGAAGGGGAGGGAGGCGTGGAGGTCTCTTTCCCAGTGGACATCTCCAATTCCAGGGGTGTCATTTTCCCTGCTTGGAAGCCAGACACCGTCGCTGAGGCTCTCCTAGGAGAAACTGGCCGCTAATGGACTCAAGTCGAGCCCCACCAGAAGCTGTATTTTAAAGTGAAATGATTGTGTGAGGAGATTTCCTGATTTTGTAAATGTCTGGGGGGCACCCGTCAGGCAGCAGACCCCGTGCAGGGTGCTGGGGACTCCGTGGAGCAGAGAACCAGACTCACGGAGGCCGAATCACAAAGATTAATTGAATAAATGAGCTGGTTCTGCCACTCCCCGAATGCCCTTCACCAGAGGAAAACCTGCTCATTTCTCTTGACGTAGGGCCAGCCTTGTCCAGAGGCTTTCTCTGGAAGGGGCCATCTCCAAGGAACTGCCACAGGTTGAAGGGGAGCTGGTCCCCGGTCAAGGCCCCCGTCAGTTCTCAGGCCTGAGGAGAATGGAAGGGGGCAGGGGCCCGCAGGTGCAGGGGGCTGTGCTGCCCATCCTGTCTCAGCATTGTGGCCTCACACAATGATGGGACGTTTCCTGTCCCAGGCCACTAGGATATTCAAAAGACTTGACTTGGGCAGGATATGGGGACCCAAGGACCCCACAGACGTTAATGGGTCAGGCCTGGGTCACAGTTCAGTTCATGGACTTTGGAGTCAAAGAGGCCTGCTACAAATCTAGACCCTACCATTTACTAGGCACAGGACTTCGGCTGGTTAAGCTCTTTGCACCGTGGCCTCCCTGTGACTGGGGAAATGTAGGGAGTCAGTTAAGGATTTGTTTTCCAGATAAGCCTCCATTTCTTTACCTGTAAAATGGGGATAGTACTGGGCCCCAGTGTTACTATTATAAAAGGATCTAATGGAAGCCCGTTTCTGGGAAACCGCATACTCGGCACTCAGTGAGCCCTCGGGGCCAGTGGCCACTGTCACCTAACCTGATGTGTTGGAGATGGAGGGGCCTGTCCTGCGGAAGCACCTGGCCTTGGTGCAGGATGGCACGGGGGAGGGCCACCGCACCCCGGGGCTCTGCGTGTCAGAGGCCAGGACTCCCTCCGTCAAAGAGCTGGGGAAAGGCCCATAGGGTGGTGGAGAGAGGAAGATGTCGAAAGAGAAACCACATTAGCATAAGTTCTGAAGCAGACCGGCCCTGCCAAGTCTGGGGCTCGGCAGTTGGGGCGAGACTGGCAGGGAAAGGAAACCGAAATGGCTGTTGCGTGTCTAGGTGACGGTTCCCACCTCTGCCTGCCGGCTCCGGGGTAAACAGTAATTACGCACCACTGCAGAGGAGCCGCTTCTCTGCAGCCGCGAGGAGCCTTGGAAGCATGGGGGTGGTGACCTCAGACTTCTTTTCTCTCCCTCCACCCCCGTCACCCTCCCCGCAGGTGACCTGGTATCCCGCGCCATGCACCACATGCAGGGCCGCCGGCCACTCTGCCCGGGCTCCAGCCCCGCCCGCCAGGCCCGCCAGCCGCCCCAGCCCATCACCTGGTCCCCCGACGCCCTCCACACGCTCTACTACTTCCTGCGCTGTCCACAGATGGAGTCCATGGAGAACCCCAACCTGGACCCCCCGAGGATGGCCCTGAACAACGAACGGTAAGGGTCCCGCCGAGTCTGCTCCGCGGGTGGACTGTGGCCCACACGGGCCCGGCCCTGGCCTGCAGTCATGCCCTTCACCCCAGGTGGGCGCGGCCTGGGGTCGTCGAGGCTCAGAATGTATTGTGGCTTGTGTCTCGGGTGTTCCTGCTCTAACACTCGCTTCCTGGGCTCGCTGGCATTCAGGCGCGCCTTTATAAACACTGGTATTCACAGATGCCTGCAAAGGTGCTAGTGGGTGAGTGCGGGCTTTGAGGAGAAGCACTAAGGACAGCGTCTGGCTGGGAACAGGCCCCCCGTCAATGGCAGCCCTGTGATCAGGGTGAGGCCAACGTTCCCACTGTTAGTAGGGACCTAAGTCTTGCTCTGCCCCAGCCACTCAAGTCACAGATGAGAGCATCGTGCCTCTGGCAGGTTTGTGGTTGAAGAGCCGCGGGACCCAGGCCTGCTGCTCTCTCTTCCTGGCTGGAAACAGGGCTGAGAAGCACGGATGTGAAGGTTTTGCACTGCACAAGGGGACCCAGTGAGGGGCACGAGTGGGAGGCAAACACAGCCTGAAGACCAGGTTGCCTTGTCTCGTTGCCTTGTCTAGTCTTACTCACAGGGCTGGCTTGTAAAATTTGTCTTCCTGGAGAGGATGCTTTTTTCTGATTCACCCAGAACATCATATGTGCTGGCATAATTCTCACCTGGTGGGCCAGATGGCTACCTGGCAGGCTCTGTCCAGGGGCTCAAGAGTTGGGTGCCTAAAGGTCCCGGGAGAGACTTGCCCTTGACTGAGAAAGCACGGTCGGCACACATTCCCCCGCTCAGCAGTCCCTAGAGAGGGAGAGAGCCCAGGCAGTGGGGGGTGCTCTGTGCCACATGGAGGAGGAAGGAGCCCCCACCCCATCGGGCTGCTGCCTTGGAGAGGCGTCGGATCTCATCAACTTTGTGGGCCTCGCACCTGCTCCGCAGCCAGGCCCACTTCTCTGGTGCCCCCACGGTCACAGAAAACAAAGCTGTGATGCGTCCCAGCTCGTTCAAAACGGCCATCGTGGAAATAGGGGATATCCTGTAGACCTGTGGCCAACATTGCAGGTTGAGAATGCAGCGGCCCAGGCTGTGCACGAACAGCGCTCATGGACCCTGAGAACTTTGTGCAAGGTTTCAGGCCTCCCTGAGTGTCAGCCTCCTCTGCTGTAAACGGTGGCAGTGAAGCCATTATAAGGGTTGAATCGTGACAATCAACATTTCCTGAGCACTTAGGAGGTGCTGGGCACCGTGCTGAGTGCTTGACAGCTGTGTGCTTTTGAGTATGCCCACAGGAAATGTATGGGCTTCACGGCCCCACTGGACAGATGAGGAAGTGGAGGCAGAGAGAGGTTTGGTGACTTGCCAAGGCCACAGAGGCTCTGCTCACAACCACTATACACGAACGACTGTGTGTGTGACAGGTGGCATGAAGCAACGGTGGCCCAGGGACACACACGTAGTAGGCTCCCAGTAAAGGCTACCTCTGCTGTGATTATGACCAATGTCATTATTAGATCGTCACTGTCTTGGTGATGGAGGATGAATGCAGGGACCAGGTAAGTCACTCTGGGCCTGACCCTGAGCAGGAAGGCAGCGGGTGGAGGCTTCCTAAAGGAAGCACCCAGCAGGAAGGGGAACCGGAGCAGAGGCCCTAAGTCGCAGCTGTTTCTGCTTTGTGCAGAAATTGTTGTGGTTTCCAGAGTGGGCTGGGAGGGAGAAAGGGCAAGGAAAACATGTGAGGGGTGGGGGGGGACTCGCTGGTTGTTTGGTGAGGTCCCCAGGGAGCTAGACAATGCCTTATCACCCAAGCAAAAGTGGCTGGGAAAAGATGAGAAAACTTCTTTGGGTCCACTGCTGTGGCCTAGGCCTCTTGGCCCTCTGGTGGTGACCATGGCCATTGGCCATGGGGCAGGCCAGGGAGGGGCTCCTCTGCAGCCGTGGCGCCCAGAACCCTTTGGCTGTCTGTGGCTGTCCTCTGGCTTTCCTCCTGGGAGAACTCCTCACCCCCAGTGCTCTAACGCACAGCCGCAGAGTTTCTGCATGACTTGGGTTGTTGTCTGGATGCAATTGTAGTAGCTCAGCTACTATACGTGTGTGTGTGTGTGTGTGTGTGTGTGTGTGTGTAGATATCTCATTATTTAAAATCCACACTGTCTGTGGCACAAAAGAATTGGTAGCTAAGGCATTTTTCCATGAATCATTCAAATGAGTATTAGATACATGGGGAATTGGAACCACCCTTAGGAAAAAAGTATCCAGACATTTTAGATTTGGGCACGAAAAGGAGGACACCCTAAAAATACCCAGGCTGGCAGACAGCCTGACAGCTGTGTGGTGGCCCGGCTCCTGGCTGCTTGGATCCTGCCACACTTGGACTCCGTTGGATGGGGCAGGCCCCAGCGAGCCTGGCTGCCCCTTCCTGGGGGCCACCAAGCTCTCGTTCCATGGCAGGCAATGCCACACATCTCCTCAAGGCACCGCCATGCTGGCATCCTCACCAGAGCTCTGGGGAAACCTCCTCTCCATGCACACTTATGGCCAGAATTGGCTCTAGGGCAACAGGGCTTTGCTTTTGTGAGTCTGGGGAGGGCTGTCTGTCTCCTTCCGTCTCCTCTACCCCCACTTCATTGACTCTTGAAGTTCCTGCCTCTGTCCCACGTGAGGAATGTGGGGGCCAAGTCCACCCAGCCAGAATCCAGAGCCTCTGATTTCCGGTATGATGGCTGAACGGGGTCCCAGAGGCCTCTGGTTCAGGGACCGGGTGGCTCGGGGCCTGTGGTCTTCAAGGTCTGCGGGGATATAGGGGTCTTCCACTGCCTTGCTCACAGGGGCTGAGGAGCCCAGTGTGGTGGCTTGGGTTTGGCCACACGGTAACATTGATGGTGCCATTCACATCTCTGCTCAGAGATTTCTGCTTGGAGGAAATGGCCCTTCCTCCTTCCCACGGGGCACTCTGTGACCCCATCCCTGCTGCTAAAGGGTGAGACAGGCGTTCCTCCCTCTGTGTGAAGCTCCTCACGGCCTCCCTGCTAAGTCACGTGCTGCGTCGGCCCCGCTCAGTCGGGCTTTAGTATCTCCCGGGAGGGGCCGTCTCCCCGGAGCCTCCTGCTTGGGGTGCGGGAGGGGAGGTGCCTGGAGGAGGGAGCAGCAGAAACAGGAGCCACGGTGGGTAGGGGGGCAGCTTTGCGAGGGACAGTTGGGCTCTGGAGCCCAGGCTTTGGGGTGAGGCCTTGATTCTGGTCCAACCTCCCACACAAGCCCCTCCACGTTCCAGACGCCTCACCTGGAAAACGGGGAGGATGAGGTGAGATAACACATAGAAGGTAGCCAGCTCTTCCTTTGAAAAGGCCTTTCCGCCTATTTGTGTTTCTTTTGTGCCCCACGAATCAGCAGGGTAGGTGCTGGAATGACCTCCGTTTTACAAACAAGGGCTCGAGGCTGCAGGGGGCACCCAGCTGCTAAGTGGCCGGGCAGGGATTTGAACCATGTCTCTCCAACCTCACAGCCCTTGCCCTCTGCCGTGCCCAGATGGTTAGCCCTGGTCCTCAAACTCTCAAGACACCTGATGGGTCTCCCGGGGCCATGCTGGCCCCCTACCTTCCTGTCTGTTCCCAGCACCCGTCCCTTGCCACCTAGCAGAGCCTCACAGGCGGGGACTCCCCGCACCCTTCCGGGGCCCCTCTCCTGCTAGCAGCTCCGCCTCGCTGCGCCGGCGAGACACGAGGCAGGGTCTCACACACGGGAACGGTCACAGCTGCCGCCCTGCAGGGCATGTCAGCGCCTGAGCCCACACTTGAGAAGTGAAAGAACTTGCTGTCAGAGATCCAGGGTTGCCCATGGAGATGGGGGAACCTCCTTCCCCCGAGGTCTGGAGGAGAATGGACAGCCATCTGGCTAAGTGCGGTCCTTGCTAGTCGTGCCTGGAGGCAGAGGGACGAGCTCGCTGCAACAGCGTCCTGGGTGGAGATGCCTCCTTGGCCATCATCCTCGTGGGGACGAGACATCTGGGAAGCAGGCAGGAAGGTGGCACGGACATACAGGAGTGGCGGGAGGTCTGCCAGCTTGCCAGCAGATTGCTGGAAAGGAGACAGATAGTTCAAGGGGCAGAGGGGGCTGAGATACACGGAAGGTAAACCAATTTTCTGCTTCAAAACCTCGGGTGCTGGAGGGCCCGGTCTCAGCAGGTGGCATTCCCCGGTGTACCTGATCTGACGGCGGCAGCAGCAGGGATGCCAGGCCTTTGAGGACTCGCTGGGAATCTAGGATCGACAGCAGGCCCCTTGTCCATGGACCGGCGTGTTTGCTGGAGCCTGGCCTCTTCCCTCTCCCCGGCCCTGCCCGGCGCCCCTTGATGGAGGGAAGCGAACTCCGAAGGCTTGGGAGCTGCCGCTGCCCAGGATGCTAAGCCAGGAGGAACATGGGAGCCGAGCCAGAGTCTGATGGGAGACAGAGCCTGAAGTATCTGGTGTCATGACGTCCCAGCCTGCCAGAGCCCTGTCTGAGGAGGGCCCTGCTCTTTAGACACGTGCCTTTCCGATCGGACTTCCCGCTTAGTGACTGTAGAGCCCTTGCCGGCAGGTTCCTCCAGAGCTCGGTTCTGCAGACCACCAACACGCAGTCCTCACAGTCCCTTCTAAGGTGCAAGGTCTAAGTGAGTTCATATTCCTAACATTCTAGAACAGTACCTGGAACACAGTAAATGCCGGATAGGAGCTACTATGATCATTAACGGGATCACTTGTACTGGGCAGAGGGAACAGCATGCGGAGAATGCAAGGGAGGGGAGAGTGTGGTCCCTAGCGGGGACAGACAGGAGCTGCATGGTAGACAACAAGGAATCGGGTGGCAGGACGAAGCTGTGGGGGAGCCGGGACCGTGATAAGGAGAGGGCTCAGTTGTGGCCTGGTGGGTCCTGGTCCTGTCCTCTGGCATGGGGCTTCCTGGGATTGGCTGGTTCTTCTTTGCCCTCAACCCAGCCTTCCGCA